AAAAAAGGGGATTCCCCAATATTTTTGCTTTAATTCAGGAGTAATGTGAAATTTTCCAAATATTATTCACTAAAAAAAAATTGTTTTATCAATAACAATCTATAAATCTAATGCATCAAAAATTAAACATCTTTTCTTCATTATAAAATTCTCTTTAATCCTATAAATAAATTACATAATCATCACTAATTTCATTCCGATAAGAAGTTGAAATAATGATGATTAATTTAACTACTCGATGTTATTTATTTTTTCCGCTTGAACTTGGATTCGACTTGAACTTCTATCAGCAGTGGCTCTAAAAATACCAGATTTGAGAGAGAAATTTCGAAAGATTTTCCCGCAAAATGCAAAATGCGAAGTAATCTTTTTCCAGATCCAAATAAAATATTCGAGCAAGTGTTTTAATTTCCCTGGTGTACGTGGCCTCAGCTTCCCTCAAGTAAATCGTCTACAATTTTCCCCCAAACGAGTAATTATGCCCGTAATATTTTCAACAAAGTCGATACAAATAATTTTAAAGAAATTTCATCATCTCTTGGAGATTATGATGTAAAGATCAGTTCATATTTCTTTGGGGCATTTGCAGTAACAAGTTATTGTAAACAAAATAAAAGTGTAACTCACATCAATCGAAATTTTATTGCGTGTTATTTTTTCTGTTTTATTATCCAGTCTCATTGCGGTTGAAGTACACGAGAAAGAAGAAAACCTTAAAGTATGAAAATGGGGAGAAAATATCGTGCAAGCTATATTGCGTGACTTTTGATTGAGAATGGACTAAAAGTATTTCATACATAAAATGAATGACAGACAACAATCTATAAAATGTAGGTCAACGATAATATATATTTATTTTCTCCACCCCCTCGAGAACTAGAACTTGAAATCCGTCTCTCAAGATGTTATGTAGTGAAATCTCGTTATAGTCTTTGACTGAATTACGTTAATACAAGGGTGGAATTGAGATACAATTATAAAATGTCAATTTTTATTAGTGAAGGTTGGTAATATTTATGAGCACAATACTGATCAGATGAGTGGAATTTATTGATTATGAGGTGGATTATTTACTTCTAATCTGGTTCGCAACTCATTGGGTGTGAACTTATGCATGAGGACTTATGCTTGAGAAGAAATGTAAAGACAGTACCCACAGTATATCAATTTTACACTCGTTGATATTTAAATAGGGAATAGAAGTAGAAAATTATTATAAAATCATTCGTCACTTTGGGATATTTTGTGGATCCACTTGTTCCCTCAGACGAACTATATATTAATTATACCGAGAATATATTCCTGAAAAAATGTGGGCGCGTATAAAAATGTATTTAACAGATTTTTTTTTTTTATAAAAATTAAAAAATTGAGAAATAAAAATTAAAATTCTAATATATGTGTAATATTTATTATCATTTTTATTTCTCAATTATAATACTAATTATGATGTATTAAAAATATATATATATTAAAAATATTAGGGAAATATATTCGAAATAATATATCTCAGTAATTTTTGGATTTTGGATTGGAGAAACTTTCCGGCGTACATCCAGAAATAAAAAATGAAAACCTACTGTCGAAATTTTTCACAAAAGCCTGGTTCTTCAGATGACGTCATAATAATATGAATTAAATTTTTTCGACTCGATCTGCTCGACGAAAATTCCTAGTACCTCGGTCTCATATTCGCAG